GCCCCCATGTAAATTTTTTTTGTTTTTTGTTTTTGTTTTTTCTTTTCCCATGTAGATAATTTTAGTACTAAAGTACAGTCACACTTCACTGGGCTCTGGACTTAGACTGGTTTGATTTAATTTCTGGCTTTACCACTTAATAGCTTTGTGGTATTTGGAAGTCATATTACCATCTCTAGCCTCAGTAGTCTTTATTTACCAAAATATTACTTACTTTCTAGGGTTGACAAGATTAATAGTCAATAAATCCTACTTCTGTTACTATTTATGAATACTGTACTGTATGTATAACCCTTCCCAGATTAGGTAAGTAACAGATATTCATTGTAAACATTTATAAAATACAGAAAAGCACAGAAAGGAAAATAAATCACCTATGATACTTCAAATTTTTTTCATTATTTATTTATTTATTTATTTTGAATTTTATTTTATTTTTTTTATGCATCAGGTCCTTATGTGTACTTTCACTTTTTGATGTTAAAATGTTGATGTATAGACTTCTTTAAAAATGTACTTTAAAAATGTATATCTTTTAGAATATTTTCCCTAACTCACCAATACATTATGCAGGTTATTTCTTGTGTTTCAGTATTATGTAATATTAACATCTGCATAAGGTTCCTCCTTTACGAACATTTTGTTTCTAGTTCCTTATTATTGTAAATTATGTCTTAAGGATCTTGTGCTTGAACCTACTTTATATTTTAAGTTATTAATATAAATCACCAAAAGCAGGTCCTGATTTTGGTGCATTTTTCCAATTTATTTTACAATATGTGTTTAGTTTATAATTCCATCAACAGTGCATTTTCTTATCTGGTATAATCATGTTAAAAAACAGTTTCTTGCCAGTTTTGTAAGCTTTATTTAAATGGCATTTTCCAATGTATTTGATTCAGATTTTAGGAAATATGTCATGTTTATTTATCAGTTTTATTTCTTCAGTAAATTCTTTGTGCATTTTATTTGTCTCTTCTGATAAATCTTTCTGCAGTTTGTTTAGACCTTCACATTATAAGGTCCTGCCCATATTACTTTGCTGTGAAGGTGGAGTGTTATGAGCTGAACTGTGCTCCATCCTCCGCCCCCTCCCCCCAGGTTTGTTTGTTGAAGCTCTATCCCAGTACCTCAGAATGTGTCTCTATTTGGAGATAATTCCATTAGAGAGGCAATTAAGGTAAAATGGAATTATATGGGTGGTCCCTAATCCAATATGACTGATGTACTGATAAGAAAAGATAAAGACACAGACACACATAGAGGAAGGATCATGTGAAGACACACAGAGAGATGATAGCCATCTACAGGCCAAGGAACGAGGCCCTCAGAATAAAGAAACTCTGTCAAGACACTTTGATATTGGACTTCTAGCATCCAAAATCATGAGAAAATAAATTTCTGTGTTACAAGCCACCAGATATGCTGTATTTGTCACAGCAGCCCTAGCAAACTAATATAGGGCCTAAACCTTTTGCCTATTATGTTTTTCCAATTTTTTTTTTTTTTTTTTTTGTGGTACGCAGGCCTCTCTCTGATGTGGCCTCTCCCGTTGCGGAGCACAGGCTCCGGACGCGCAGGCTCAGCAGCCATGGCTCACGGGCCCAGCTGCTCCACGGCATGTGGGATCTTCCTGGACCGGGGCAAGAACCCGTGTCCCCTGCATCGGCAGGCGGACTCTCAACCACTGTGCTACCAGGGAAGCCCTCCAAATATTTTTGACTAATATGTTATTTAACTTTTAATTTTAGGTATGCCATTGGTTTTCTAGAGGTATAGAAATTTTCCTGTCTTGTCCCAAAGCTTAGGAAATCTTACATTATTACTATTATTATTTTTTTAAACATCTTTATTGGAGTATAATTGCTTTACAATGGTGTGTTAGTTCTATTGATATATGTATGTATAAAAAGTCTCATCCTTCTCAGTATTTAAGTACTTAGAACATTGTATAACAATACAATAAAAACAAATAAAATTTCTTTCATACTCTTTGACACTCTAAACCTTCTTTGTTTATCATATTTCAGAATTTTAAGGAATTTATAAGAATACCAGTATAATCATTTTGGATAAAGGCCTGTGAAGGAAAGCTTTTTAGCTTGTTTTGCCTATTTACCTATTTACACAGCAGTTTCCTGCCACATAAAGTGATCATTTTTATAGTCTTTTCCCCTGCTGTGAAAATGTTACAGTATCTGAGGGTTCCTGTATTCCTATCCCCTACCCTGTTCTATTTGCAACATCTTTCCTTTTTTTTTTGCCTCTGAAGAAGAAATTGGACAGGAAGTTTTACAAGGATCCTACCAATAGAACAGTGAGTTTATATCATTAGTTTTTTTGCTATAATATTGTGCTTTTCACAGAGGCAGATGTGCTGGTCACTTTGGTTGGTTTTTAACTTCATAACTTCATACTGAGGAACAGTAATAATAGCACTTGAAGACCCTTCTGATCCTTCATGTTAATGAAATGATCAACTTTCTCTTTAATCCTTTTCAGTTAGGCCCAGTAAATAACTTGCGAAGCTTTATGTAACTTTTAGGTAAAAGTCAGTTTTCAAAACTCACACTAGATCAACATGATGTGTTGTCATCCAGGTGGGGTGCAAATAGCTAGTATTAGATCAGTATTCTTAATAAAAAAAAAAAAAAGGAAAGCCTGTTTGAAGGCATCAGGCAACTATTCTGGCTGTAAGTGGGGTAGGAACCAAGACTTCAGAGAAGAGAGAATCTTGTGGAGATGATCTAACTTCTCCAGCAACGTTTACCTGGGGGATACTGGCTAATGTGGAATGTGGACAGGAAGCTAAAAATTTAGACTGTAGTCTCAGGAGTACTATTGCTGAAACATGGGAAAAACAGTACAGAGCTTTTGATGGAGACCATCAAATGGGAGAAATCAAGTAAAAGGAGATTCTCCCCTCAGTACATTTATTTGTTGAATCCTGGGATGGGAAATATAAAATCCTAAGCAGAAAATCTTTGAAAATCAGGGTGGACTTTCTAGTGTTTTTGTAAAACAATAATGAGACATGTCATCCTCTTGAGATTGGTCCTCTGAACAACAAGCTTTCAGTTGAAACCTGGGGGAAAAACCAGAGGTAGACTATTACCAGGGCAGCAGCCTAATATGGACTCACCATTGTCTATTGGCCTGACAAAGAGGAGGATGAATGCTTTGTGGAGAAAGATAACGTAGTCAGGAATCTCTGCAAATTTTTATGTACAAAGATTATAGGATCCACCAAAAGACAGGACTACATGACCAGAACAAAAGGAAAAACAGATAATAAAAACAGACTCAGAGATTATCTACATCATTCATATCCATTTAGATGATAAGCACTTTAAATATTTAAAATGTAGTTAATATATCAAGAAAATAGAGGAAACTATGGAGAAAATAGGTGGAAAAAGATTTTTTCATTATGATATTGGATGTGTACAAAGTTAAATGGAAACATGATAGGTAAAATTAAAAATTCACTAGACAGGTATAATAGAAGATTAGACTTATCAGAAGATAAATAAATAGGAAATACCCAGCTGAAGGACAGAAAAAAAAGAGAAAGGAGAAAACAGAAGAGGACTTAGAGATTTGTGGTATACACAAAAAGATCGAACATTTGAATTACCCGAAAAAGAGGAGAGAATTGGGCAAAACTACTTTTGAAGAGATACAGAATTTTCTAAAACTGATAAAATATATCAACCTAGAGATTCGGAAATTTCTGTTTTCCCTAAGCAGGGATGCAAATAAAACCACCCTTGAACAGTAAGAGTGCTGAAATCAAAGGTAAAAAAATCTTGAAAGGAGTCTGAAAAAAAGGATAAGACCTTCAAAGGAGCCAACAGTAAGACTCATATCAGACTTCTTAACAGACAATGGAAGCCATCTTGAAATTGTTTTAAGAAAAGAGCAAATCTACCAATTTATATAAATCCAGCAAAATGTCCTCCGAAAACATAAGTGAAAAAAATCATTTCTGGACAAAAACCAAAAAAATCCATTGCCAGCAACCTTGGCTATAAAACAAATGAAGATACCAATAAAACAGATCAACAACAATGAACTGAGGATTCTTTAGGCAGAAGAGAGAACATCCCATAAAGGTACCACTGGAGTGAAGAGTAATGGAAGTGGTGAATTTGAGAGTAAATATAAATTGATATTGACTAAATATGAACTAAAAATAAAAATAATGTCTTGTGGGGCTTAAAAGATAGAAAACACAAAAAGTGAAAGGTGAGAGGAGTAAATGGAGTTGAAGTATTGGGGTCTCATATTATTGAGAACATGGTAAAGTAGTAATTTCTGTTAGACTGTAATAAGTCAAAAATGCATGTTGTAATCTCTATGGTAACCACTAAAAGAATATAGTTTTTTTCATAGATTAATTTATTATTTATTTTATTTATTTTTGGCTGCGTCAGGTCTTAGTTGCAGCATGTGGGATCTTCATTGAGGCCTGCGGGATCTTTTGTTTCAGCGCGCAGGCTTCTTTCTAGCTGTGGCATGTGGGTTTTCTCTTCTGTTGTTGTGGCGCGTGGGCTCTGTAGTTTGCAGCATGTGGGCTCTAGTTGAGGTGCGTGAGCTCAGTAGTTGTGGCACGCAGGCTTAGTCGCCCCGTGGCATGTGGGATCTTAGTCCCTTGACCAAGGATCGAACCTATGTCCCCTGCATTGCAAGGCGGATTCTTTACCACTGGATCACCAGGGAAGTCCCAGGAATAGTTTTTAAAACAGTAAGAGTATGGAGGGGGAAAAAAGAATAATAAAAAACAGCTGGTTAATTCAGACAAAGGCAAGAAACCTAGAACTGTCAGGTCAAATAAACAATAAGATGATAGAAATAAGTCATATTTAGACAGTAGAATCATGTATTTTTCAAAATTTTATTAGAGAAAAATACCTTTTTATTCCAGTCTAAAAAGGTAATGTATGTAAATAAGCAAAAATACATGCTTATGTTTATGCATACTTGTTTTGTTTTTCTGACAGCTGCTTTGTGATATTGGCCACAATGAAGAAAAACTGGGTTTTAACTATGAGGATATCATAATTTGGTAAGTATAGTTCAGTTGCCTTCCTCATCCCTTCTGGATTTTAGTAATTTCAGTTTTAGTAATTTTAAACTAAAAATAGAGTATAGCATCTTGTTTTGATTTTATAGAAACAGTTGTTTGAATGTTAGAAAAATTCAGGATCTCCAACATTTTTAACTGTTATTCTGTTGTTCTTACTGATATTTTGTAATTATCAAATATAAAGAACCAAAGCTAATGTTTTCGAAAAGTACCTGGACTTCTACAGTCTAAACTTCTAAGTTAAATCACAGAATAAAAGTTCTCATATTATTCCCAAGAGCAAGAAGAACCTGTACAATTATCTCTAGATCTCACCTAAGACACAGTGTGCTATGGCAAACTTGATTTGCTCAAGCCCACGAGAGGCATAATGTTACAGTTTCATAGCCATCGTTTTGGCATCGTTTAAAATTGGTATAGGGCTTCCCTGGTGGCGCAGTGGTTGAGAGTCCGCCTGCCGATGCAGGTGACACGGGTTCTTGCCCTGGTCCGGGAAGATCCCACATGCCGTGGAGTGGCTGGGCCCGTGAGCCGTGGCCACTGATCCTGCGCGTCCGGAGCCTGTGCTCCGCAGCGGGAGAGGCCACAACAGTGAGAGGCCCGTGTACCGCAAAAAAAATAATAAAATAAAAAATAAAATAAAATAAAATTGGTATAAGTAGTTTCTTCCTACTGTCATTATAAAGTATTTTTATTTATTGGTTTAAACCATTGATTCTTTGGGAGAAATGAAACAAGTAGGTAGATAGAGGGGGATCGACTGTAGAGGCATATGTGATACAGCTTGAAAAAGGCATATTTAATTTCCCACTGTTTATATAAAATAAACTACAGAAGGTAGAAGAAAACTCTTAACATTTTCTTGATTGGTAGGAGTATACCAAGGAGACAAAAATTAAAAAATAACATTAGTGAAGTTCCATGGCTTACAGTGAATGATTTTTATATATGTAAAATGACAAGTAGCTGTGCTTCTTTCAACTGAAGAAGGATTTGGTACCATAATTTTATGTGTATTTGGAACTCATGCAGCAAGACTTTTTGTTTGTTTGTTTTCATATAGCTTGCGGTTAGCTTTATTGAATGAAGCAAAAGAAGTGCGGGCGGCAGGGCTACGAGCTCTTCGGTATCTCATTCAAGACTCCAGTATTCTGCAGAAGGTGCTAAAATTGAAAGTGGACTATTTAATAGCTAGGTAATTTTCTTAGAGCTCCCTATGTTTTTATATGTTTTTTAAAATTGTGTATTAAGTTTTAGCATACCTACCATAAAGTATACACATTTTTAGTGTAAAGCCTGATAATTTTTACAGGTAGATACAACCAAGTGCCCTATTATCCTGAGTAAGATATGGAACATTTTCAGCCTCCCAATCAAGTTCACTTGTGTCCCCAGTCAGTAGGAAACATTACTCTGACTTTTTTCATCCTAGACTAGTTTTTCCTATTCTTGAGTATCATATATTGGAAGTATACATTACTCTTTTCTTTCCTCAGTGTTATCTGTGAGATTTATCCATGTTGATTTTTTAAAAAAATTTCTGTGTAGTATTTTATGTTGTGAATAGAGCACAATTTATTTAAACCATTCTGTTGATTTTTTTCTTGGTTGTTTTCAGTGTTTGGCTATTTTGAATAAAGCTGCCCTGAACATTCTTGCACAAGTCTGTTGGTGGACGTGTGCACTCATTTCTCTTAGGTATATATGTAGGAGTGGAATTGCTGGGTGATAAGTTTTATGTTTATTTAACTTTAGTAGTTACTGCCTAACAGTTTTGCAAAGTGATTGTACTGATTTACACTCCTACCAGAAATGTTCGAGAGTTCCAGTCCCTCCACATCCTCATCAGCATTTGCTCTTTTCAGTTTTTAATTATACCCTTTTCTGCTGTGGTTTTCATTGTGAGTTTCATTGTGGTTTTAATTTCTGTTTCCCTTTCATTTGCTTGCTATTTGGATATCCTCTTTATCTTTTGCTCATTTATAAATTGGATTGTAGGAGTTCTTGGTGTCTTCTGGATATGATTCCTTTCCAGTATATGTATTGAGAATATCTTCTCAAAGTCAGTCTACCTTGCCTTCTTACTCTTCTTAATTAATAAAATCCAATATAGCAGTCTTTTATAGTTAATGTTTTTGGTCTCTTTGGATGATAATATCCTATTTTTTCTTCTAAAGTTTTTATTCCGTATATGTTGAAATAGGTGTTAGGTCACAATTCATTTTTATCAATATCCAATAAATATTAGAGGCATTTAGTGAAAAGATTCTCCTTTCATGTCTAAATTAGTTTCGTTTTTGTTGTAAGTCAGGCAACTGATAAGTATGTTTCTGTTTTTGCTTTCCCTATTCTCTTTGGTCTATTTGTCTATTCTTGCTCCATTTTCTCCCTGTCTTAAATGACTGCAGCTTGACAGTAAGTGTTGATATGGTATTAGTATAAGTCCTCCAGCTTTTCTTCTATTTTGGGTTCTGTATTTCCATGTGAATTTTAGAAAATCAACTTGTCCATTTCCATAAAACTTTCTGGGATATCAATAGTAATTGCATTGAAACTCTGTGTTAATTTAGGGTGAATTGATATCGTAATAATATCGAATCTTCCAAACCTTTATTTATTTGGAACTTTAATTTCTCTCAACATTTTGTAGTTTTCTATGCAGAGAGGTCTTGCACATATTTGTTAGGTTTATCATAAGGCATTTATTAGATGATATAGTATTAATGTAATTAAAATTTTTCTTTTTCATAGTTTTTGCTGCTAATATATAGAAAAATAATTGTAAGTTTTTATGTTTTGTTCTTGTATATTCTTATCTCGGTGATCTGACTAAATTCACTTTTTAATTCTAATTGTTTTTAAGGTTATTTTAGAGTTTCTGTGTACATTAGCATTAATTGCAAATGATGACCCTTTTATTTCTTCCTTCCCAATCCTTATATTTTTCTTTTCCTCACCATATCGCACTGGTTAGAATATTGCACTGACTAGAAATGGTAATTGGATAACTATGTTTTGCTCCTGAACTCAAGTTGAAAGTGTTCAGTATTTTGCCATTATTTATGATACTTGCTGTAGACTCTTAGTGGATTTCTTTATAGTCCTTGTTTGCGTTCCTGAAGTAAACACCATTTTTTAATGATGTCTTTTTATTTTACATATAACTGTATTGGGTTTGCTAATATTCTGTGGAAAAATTTTTGCAGTTACGTTTATGAGAGGTATTGGCCTGTATTTTTCCATTGTTCTAATATTCTGTTTGGTTTTGGTATCAAGAGTATGTTTATAAAACAACTAAGGAAATGTTGCCCCCTTTTTATATTCTCTGGAAGAATTTATGTAAGAACTTATGTAAGATATTGCTTTTTACCTTACATGATTAGTAGAGTTCACCAGCGAATCTGTCTGGCCCTGGGGTTTTCTTTTTTAAGAAGTTTTAATATCATGGACTCAATTTTTTTTTATTTTGGCTGCGTTGGGTCTTTGTTGCTCCGCGTGGGCTTTCTCTAGGTGTGGCGGGCGGGGGCTACTCTTCATTGTGGTGCGTGGGCTTCTCATTGCAGTAGCTTCTCTTGTTGCAGAGCATGGGCTTTAGGCATGTGGGCTTCAGTAGTTGCAGCACATAGGCTCAGTAGTTGCAGTGCCTGGGCTCTAGGGCACGAGGACTTCAATAGTTGTGGCACATGGGTTTAGTTGCTCTGCGGCATGTGGGATCTTCCCGGACTAGAGCTCGAACCCATGTCTCCTGCATTGGCAGGCGGATTCTTAACTACTGCACCACCAGGGAAGTCCCCCTGTCAGTTCTTGCTTTATATATTTTGAAATTTTGTTATTGCATTCATATTTAGAAATGTTAAACCTTCTCATTGGGCTAATCCTTTCCTGGTTATGAAATGTCTCTCTTTATTCCTAGTAATACTTCTTTTATGAGTGTTCATGTTATCTAATGTTAATATAGCTATACTAACTTTCTTTTATTTAGGGTTTGCACAATATGTCCTCTTCTGTCCTTTCACTTTCTTTTTTTTTGTTCTTTAAGTTTCTCTCCCGTTAATATCATATAGATTTTTTAAAATCTAGTTTGACCATCTTTGTCTTCTAATTGGATTAGACTTGTCTAGTGGTTTTTTATATGCAGGGTCTATGTGCTTTATCTAATGTAATTATATTTATGAGTTTGTCTTCTTGCCATTAGTTTTCTCATATATTTGACTTTGCTGTCTTGCTGTTCATATTCTATTTGTCACATCTATTCTTTGGTCTTGCATTGCTCCTTTTTTGTTTCCTTGGGAATAATCAAGAATTTTTTTCCTCTTCTATTAATGTCTTGGTTTTAAAGCCTTTTCTTCTATTAGCAGTTGCCCTAGAGATTATATTTATCCTTGATATGTTAAGGTTTACCATTTTTATTACAACCAGAACAATGCAGGAAACCTCTTCCAGCTTGACCATCAGCTCCCCTCTGCCTTATTTCTACATATATTTGTAACCCCACAGGATAGTCCTGTTATTGTATTAAATTGGAACTAGTGATATTTACCTATGTTATTTACCCGTTCCAATATTCTTCCTTCTTGCATTTCCACCCTTTTATCTTGGGTCACTTTCTTGAATTTCCTTTACTATGTTCTCATAGTGTAGGTATACTGGAGTTGAATTCTCTCATATTTTATTTGTCTATAAATCCTCTATTTCCCTTCCCATTTGAAGGGTATTTTTTTGACCAGTTACTATTTTTCAATGCTTTAAATAAGTTATTGTCTTCTGGATTTTGTTTTTTTGTTGTTGAACAGTAAGTTGTCTTTTCTTGTTGCTTCTTTTTCTCCTTTGGCTACTTTAAAGGTTTTTTTTCCTGTTACTTTCTCTCCTGTCCCCTGGTACTCCAGCTATAGAGTGTTGAATCTGTTCACTGTGCCACATGTCTCTAATACCCTTACTGTATTTTCAATCTTTGTTGTTGTTAATCTTTGTGCTTCAGTGTTGTTACTTTCTACTTACCTGTTTTTGGTTTTTTTTTTGTGGTACACGGGCCTCTCACTGTTGTGGCCTCTCCCGTTGTGGAGCAGGCTCCGGACCACAGGCTCAGCGACCATGGCTCACGGGCCTAGCCGCTCCACAGCATGTGGGATCTTCCCAGACTGGGGCACGAACCCGTGTCCCCTGGATCGGCAGGCGGACTCTCAACTACTGTGCCACCAGGGAAGCCCCCAGTCTCTTGAATTTTTAATTTCAGTTATTGTATTTCTGTGATTTATATTTTACTCTTACTTAAACATTCTAGGTCTCTGCTTTATTTTCTTGAGCATAATAATCATAGTTATTTATGACAGCTCCAGTATGTGAATCACCTGTGTTCTGTTTCTATTATCATTTTCTTTTCTTGGTTTTTGGTTACTCAACCCTTTGTTTGTTTTAAAGCATACCTCATATTATATGTGATTGGATGTGAACATTGTATGTTAAAAGTTTTTGGCTCTGGATCATGTTATTTTTCTCTTAAAAGAGTTAAGCTTTATTCTGGAATGTTGGCTTATCACACTGATTGTGTTAAAATTTGTTTTTTTTCCTTTGCCTTTGCTCTAGGAAGTGGCTATATGGAGTCTCAAGTGAAAATGTAGATATTTAGCAGAACCTCTTCATCCCGACCAGTCTTGAGCCCTAACATCTTTCATAGAATATTATGTACCTGCTAAAATTTCTGCTCAGTTCCTTGGCTTCTCAGCAGTAGCTTTTTGCTTGGTTTCTTGGACTTTAACTCTGCATTCGTACAACATAGAAATTGGCAAGTGCGTTGGAAAGGGGATGGCACGCAGATTCTTGCTTATACTCCTATTTTCTTTTCTTTGAGATTTTTTCCCCTCAAGTCCCAGCTAGTTTGGTTGCCCTAAAGTTCAGTCTGTCTCTCCAGTACAGGAAGATTTTTGCTTTCTTTTAGGATTCTGTTCCCCTAAAACTGGGGTTTGGCAGGTATCCCCAGGGACAAAGCCTGAGTGGATATGGAGCTTGTGCTTCTCTTTCCAGGGATTATTATCCATTGCCCTTTTAACAGTTGCTTTACAAAGTACTATATTTAGCCTTTATAGTTATTTTTGGCAGGAGGATTGGTCTGATCTCTTGTGGCCAGAAATGAAATTATATGTCTATTTGCTTCTTATTTAAGTTGTTTTAGATTAATTATATTCAGATAGCAGAAATGCTTTTGAATAGCACACTATTGATATATAAAGTATTGATTAGAATTGAGAACTGTCTAAACATAAGTAAAAATGAATTATTCTTCCACATAAACCAAAGACTCTTTAGAAATTGAATAATTTAATAAATTTTACAGAGAAATGTCAGTTAAGTGATATATGAGCATTAACTTTTGAAGTACAGTCACATTTCAAATTATATTTTGGTAAAATAGAATTATTGTGGCCAATATAAGACTTTTAACTTAGTTATAACATGTAAAATTTAGGCTCTGGTTAAAATCACAATTAAACTAAAAAATAGGCTTTGAAATATTTCTCCTTCACAATTTTTATAAGATATCTGTGAACTTTATCAAAGATAGGTGAATATTTTTTCAGTAGATTTCTGATATTTTGCTTTATAAATATGTTTATTATTTCTGTATAGATATATATAATTCTGTAAATTACTTACTATATTCTTCTTTCCTGGAGTTTTAAGTGAAATAGTTTTGAAATGTTTTATTATAACAAGTATTTATCACTAGAGATATTAAATTAAATAAATATTTGCTGGTACTGAAAAATAACTTGTATTAACATTTACAAATACTATATTGACATGAACATGGGTCTGATCATGGTATTATACAAAAAAATTGTTTAATAAGATTTTTATCAATAATTAAATATTTTATGTATTATTTAGGTGCATTGACATACAGCAGAGCAACGAGGTAGAGAGGACACAAGCACTTCGATTAGTCAGAAAGGTAGGCTCTATGTCTGAGAGTAAAGGCAGATTTATGATTTTCATGTTAAGCATTTTGCATTTTTAGATTTAGACTGTGAAATCTTTCTATTAAAATTGAAAGACTGAATTCTCATTAAACATTTTTATTTTGTTAAAATTATATATGAGTTAAATAAGTCTATTAAAACTTCAAGATAAGCATAAATATGTTGTGTAGTTATTCTATGTGATTGGGTATAGCTAGGTCAGTATTTTTAATAAAATGTTTATTGTAAATAATATTTCTTCCTGCAGTAGGCATATAAATGAAATTACTGCTTTTATATGTTATTGGAGAAAGAGGATTACTTGCCCCCAACCCTTATTTTTTCTTAATTATATGCTTGGAGTTAATTCTATTAAATGAATGTCAAAGATAATTACAGGCTGATTGTTTTGAAGATGAATTTGGATACATCAATAGGCACTTGCAATAAACAATTCAGGCCATTGTACAGGATAAAAGGTCAAAATCTAAACTCTCCAAGAGAGGGTGTTGAGGATAATCCATAATGCTTCTAATGAGAGGCCTTCCAGGAGTTTTTTTTATTGTTATTTAATGTGATGTGATGCCCTAATGGCAGAGGAATAGAGTAAACTGAGAGTTAATTTGGTTAGGGTACAGTTTGTGTAAGAATTTTATCATGTTTCATCATAAAGTATCATGTTTCATCTTAAAAATTCATAAAACTGATGCAGTGTATGTTTGTTTTAATGTAAAAACATCTAAGATTATTTAACAGTTAACTTTTTTAGCTCTTCTCCTTTTTTCCCACCTTTGAATACAGTGCATGCTCCAGAATTGCAGACTGTTGAGTTTGTGCATTAACTAGATCTCCTCTTCTTCCTTTTTCTTCCAGTTGTTCAGCTTATGGTTAGTAATAGTACCCACAGGTGAGCATAGTAAGGAAGAAGTAAATGGATGAGTTGTCTTAAAAGAAGTTTGCAGTTCTAGTTAAGAGTGATATTGGAGATAGATTTAAAAAATGTTTGTTGTAGGGTAAATTGTTATGTTGGCACCGTGATTTGACTCTTCATATTCAAATGTAAAAATTAGGTTTATGATTTTTACTTATACATACAACCTCTTCTACTGCATGATTTTGAGAATTCAAGATAAGAAAACAAAATTTGTTTCTGAAGAACCTAGAATAACTCTTTGGTTATTTGAGTTATATATATGTCAGTATTTATCATACTAGGAATTAAAAGTGAGAAATTTAAAAATATATTAACATATTAAAAAATAACAAAGTCATTACAAGTAAACATAAATAACATTTTTATAAAAATAACTATATTTTCCAAAAAGAAAGTTAATGAGTAGAGTGGCATTATTTTAGATTTATACAAATTTCTGTAGTGTTTGTCCTGATAGAAGATACCTGGATTGTCATATTTGCTTTTGTATTCAGTCTCTTGTGATTTCACATGCAGTGGAGCCTCTGGAAAACTTCCATATGTACTTGTGAGAGTAAAAAAGACAAATAATGTCTTTGAATTACTATGAAAATAGTTTTCACTTTTCAGAATCTCTGAAAATATCCTCAGGACCCTCAGTTTTCTGGACCACACTTTGAGAGTTGCTGCCTTAGAAACTGCGTTCAGATGAAAAAAGAACCCCAAATGGATTAAATTAAATTCAGCTTCTTTGAATTATTCACTAAATATTTTATTTCTGTTTTGTACAAGTTACAATTTAATTTATAAAATAGCCCAGTAAAAATAAACAGACCCTTGAAACAATTCAGAAATGCCATAACAAAAATGTAATTTTATTTTCTTATCTTTTGAAGAAGGCAGATATCATTTGTGGATTCAAGGGTGGGAAAACTACTTGTACCTGGTGGTAAAATACAGGCTCAAAGGTAGAGTTATGTCACAGGATTCCTCCTTGCGTTAGCTAAAAACAGTTAGAGTAAAAGGGAAAGCAAGGTTGCTGAATGAACAGTGGCCTCTGTTGGCCAGAGGAACTATAATTTCACTAATACTTTTAACAATTGAAGCACATATTTCTTTTTTTCCAGCAACATCTTGGCAACTGAGCTTGTAGAAATTAATGTTAATAATATAATTGCTAGGTCACTGTGGGTTCTTTGTATCGTTCAGAACAGTTTTAAAATTTTCTGTGAAAGTAGTAATGTTTTTTAAAGGAAAAGCAAAAACATTTGTTGCTTTAGGATAACTTGCTTTATGAATAATTAAGGAATACTCATGTTACTTTTCCTTCTCTTTCACCTATTTCATTTATTTAGGAGATTTTGTTTGTTTGCTTGGTTTTCTTTCAATGTCTCTGATTTTTTCATGTCTCTTTCTTGCTCTAATCCAGGCAGTCCTTCCTGATTCTTGTCTCTCTCATTATCTGTATTATTTTCACACTAGTCAGCTCTTGCTACTCTTTATCCAACTTAAAGTTTTCTTACTGCCTGCCTAATTAAGCCATTATTTTCTTCATATATCATTTCTTTATTCATGCAATATGAGATTAATATATCACAGATTTTTTTTTTTATAGCTGAAAGGGATTCATTTAAAGGAATCACTTGCCCTTGATACACAGCAAGATATTGTCAAAGCCAGCGTGAAAAGCCCAGTTCTCCAAATTTCCAAACCTACACTGGCCCACAAATCCTTTTGGTATTAAGCACAACCTGCTTATCTTGGCATTCAGAGCCCACTTTTGGGGCAAGCAATTATGACCCGTCTCTCATTATGCCATTCTATGTGTAGACAAGCTGCCCTCCACCACTGCTGTGATCACTGCTTCTATCCTATTCTTTTCACTTCCACCCCTTTCTATATTATATTCATCTTGCAGTCTCAGCTGAAATTTTAAATATTTCCCTTAGAGAACTCAGTGTTTCTTTAACTGTTTTATAGCAGTTCTACAAATTTATTACCTACTTATGATCTTTGATTTGTTTTATATATGTCTGTTCTATCATGCAAAAAAGATGATTAAACTTTTATTTCAACAGAGACTAAATTCTATGACTTTGCCCTCATTGATTACTCACTGATTTACAAGAAAAGTATTCTCTGATTTACACAGAATTTAAGTTTCTTTGTGTATGTTTTCCCTGAAAAATAAGAAGAGTGATTTCATTTATAAAAACTTTAAATTACCAATATCCATTTCATAGCTCTACACTTGAGATTCATAGAATAGAATTTTATACTTGAAATTCTAGAAATCATCGGATCCTATACATCCTCATTTACAAATGAGGAAACTAAGGCACAGAGAGGATTGGTTTGCCAAGGTAACGGTTTATTAATGGCAGATTTGGCCCTGGAAGCCAGTTGGTCTGGCTTCTAGCCAGCTCTTTTTAAAATACATTACATACGTCTTATTGTCTTGTGAATTTTTCTTACAAGCCCCTTGTAAGTATAATAATAGATCAATAAGTATTAAAATACAAATTAATATCATAAGAAGTTGGAATTTTCTCACTGAGGAAGATCAGTTTCTTATACCTCTTTTCCCTTTCCTCTTCTTTCTTCTCCAACATTTTTGATTAATGAAAAATACTGTTTAGAAACAAATGTGAAAGTTTTTGTAGATTCTAAGGTTATTGGACATCTATTTTATGGTTGTGGAACAGTATTCTATAATTTCATTTGAAACTTGTCATATCACATAATGCTGCTTAAATGATGTAAACCATTTACAAGTACTCTAGCCAATATAGATCTCTCCTTTGAACCTCTATAGGATTCAACTGGATATTAGTTTAGTTATATTGTGTCCCCTAATTTTGTCATAGTATAAGTCTTATTTTTCAACAGGATTATAAATATAGTAACACCCAGGACAGATTAATTATCCCCAGTATTTATCACTACCCAAAGAGAATAAAACATTTTCTTCTACTCCCACTCCAAGGACCTGCTATTTTGAAATACTTCATCTACCAAATAGTCTTTTATTTATTAAAGAGTAATTAGCTACATAATTTTTCTTTCTGTTTTCCAAACTGAAGATACATGTTATCTGTTTTCAGTATTCCAAATATGTTATTGCCAATTAAACTTTTCATTTAAAATGAGAAATCAGAAACAAAAGTTTCTGTCACCAGAGACATACTGTTTCCATCACAGTTTTTGAAATATTAAAAATAGATTATGGAGAGACTGCTGTCTGCCTTGAAGTAGCAAATAACCATGAGTGAGCTGCCCATGACAGGGGCCTGAGGGCAACCTCTAAGAGCTGAGGGCAGTCCCCATAACAACCAAAAAGAAAATGGGGACTTCGAAAAAAATAGATTATGGATTATTAAGTTTGCCTTTCAGTATAGCAACAAGTGAGAGTTAGAGATAGGGAGATGATGAGACATCAGTTGCAGCAATCAAAGTAAGAATGAGGACCCAAATCAGAGTTTGATGGTGGAAAGAGTTGAGTTAATGAGGTAAATTGATAGGATGTAGTGGTGATAATATATGGGGAAGGAGTCAGGAATGTAGTAGTACAGTAGTATGTTTGCAGCTGTTGTCACCACTGATTTACTTTGTCTAGTTACTGAAAAGTTGTTTAAAATAGAGTTCCTATCCTAGAGGAGCTTAGAATCTCAGAAACATTATATCTTGGTAGTCAACTAATTTATAGTCTGGACTATTAGGGAAAAAAAGCCAACACTTTTTTCCATGGTAATGATTATTAACATTTATTGCATCAGTTATTAGTTATATTAGTCCTTTGACATGTTCATTTGAAGCAGAAGATTAAAATTAGTGCCTGAATCTTATAAATATTCTACGGTCTTAAACACTTCAGTCTGAATAAAATAGGTTTTAAAAATGCATTATGAAGTAACTTGTTTTTCTGATTTCTCCCTGTTACAGATGATTACTGTGAATGCTTCCTTGTTTCCTAGCTCTGTGGCCAACTCATTAATAGCAGTTGGAAATGATGGACTCCAAGAAAGAGATAGAATGGTTCGAGCATGCATTGCCATTATCTGTGAACTAGGTCAGAATTTTCTTTGAGTAATGAAAATGTAGTGTTTTAGAAAGAATATATAACACTTTTTAATGCCTTTAATACATTAATTCTTTAGGTATTGGTAAAAAGATATGAAAAAGTAGGACATTACTGATAGGGAAGTAGTGGACTTGTTGTTTAAACAAATCATTTCAAAGTGACATTAAAATTCTATAAATTTTAAAGTTTTACTCATCATGAAATTTAATATATAGGAATTGTCCAGATTCCAGTAATTAGAATAAAATCTCTTAAAGTCTGGCTCTCAGTCATTAATTAACCACATTGTATCTTGATGTGAGTGCAAAACAACAATTCACTCTACATTAAAAAAGAATTCTAAATGAAAAAGGATTTAAGAGTTAAATGGGGAAAATATGGGGGGGGGGAATGAATGGCTATCTGATCACGTAAGGAAAAGGAGTTTTGAATTATCAAAAGAAATCAAACAGATTTCAGCAGCTGTATATTTTATTATAAGGAGATAAGAAAACATGCAGTACCAGGACAAAGAAAAAAATAAATGTAATAAATACATTCTTTACCATGACAGGTAAAGAACTTACTTATATACAGATCAGTAGGAAAAATAAGTAATTCTCAAAGAAATGCTTGGCTGGTCAAAGTATTTTAAAAGTTCAACCTCACTTATAACCAAAGAAATATAATTTTTAATGACAAGAGAAGATAATATATTTCCCCACCAGAAGCAGAAATGGTATAGGTTACATTCACTCTTGATTTAATAAATAAATGAATAACAAAAGTTTAAAGAAACAAAAGAGCCAAGTCTTATCATTGAGAGTCTAAAAATACTGTCCACAATACCTGTTGATTTAGAGAAAAAGTCAGAAATTTGATTAAGGAAATTCTGAAAACTAATAAAAATTTGACTACATGTCAATGTATGAGATGCCTGGAAAGTTATATATTCGAGTTAACTTCTCTCTATAAGATGCTTTTATAATTAAGCAAAAAGTAATGAAAATAAGTGAGCGAACCCAAGAAATAGAAAAAGAAGAAAAAAAATAAATTTTAACATAAGTAGGAGGAAACCAATAATGATTCTGAGTCTTAGAGAACAAGATAGATTATTTAATCTAATCTGTGTTAATGGAAGAAGAAAAAAATGATACACAGGCAAACATACACTATTGTTTGAAAAATGCAAAAGTCAGAGAAAAGATTAATAGAATGAGAGAGAATTAATAGGAGTTTTAAAAATTATGAGATAATTTTTTTATATATTTGAAAATCTTATTGAAATGAATGGGTTTTCAGAGAAAATTTTAATTTCCAGTTGACTCAAAAGAGTAGAACACATGATGGATCAAAAACTATAGAAGTACTTGATGAATTAATTGCCTCCAAAAAGACTCATTTAGTTAGTTTTGTCGTAAAAAAATTGTTTCAAGGAACAAATAATTCTCATATAGTATAATCTAATTGAGAGCATTAAAAATATGGAAATTTACCAATTTTAATTTAAATGAAACTAGCTTTTTTTTTTTTTTTTTTTTTTTTTTTTTGTTTGGTTCGGGCCTCTCACTGTTGTGGCCTCTCCCGTTGCGGAGCACAGGCTCTGGACGTGCAGGCTCAGCGGCCATGGCTCACGGGCCCAGTCGCTCCGCGGCATGTGGGATCTTCCCGGACCGGGGCATGAACCCATGTCCCCTGCATCGGCAGGCGGACTCTCAACCACTGCGCCACCAGGGAAGCCCGAAACTAGCATTTTATATACATAAACACACAGATATGCACATACACACAAGTACACGCATACATGAAATAATTAGAATGCTACTATGTTAACGTTGTAGAATATTCATCTCAAATCACCACTCATACTATTTTTTTAATAAATTTATTTATTTATTTATGGCTGCGTTGGGTCTTCGTTGCTGAGCGCAGGTTTTCTCTAGGTGCGACGAGTGGGGGCTGCTCTTCCTTGCAGTGCATGGGCTTCTAATTGCAGTGGCTTCTCTTGTTGCGGAGCATGGGCTCTAGGCACATGGGCTTTGGTAGTTGTGGCATGCGAGCCCAGTAGTTGTGGCTCACAGGCTCTAGAGCACAGGCTCAGTAGTTGTGGCGCACAGGCTTAGTTGCTCGGTGGCATGTGGGACCTTCCCAGACCAGGGCTCGAACCCATGTCCCCTGCATTGGCAGGCGGATTCTTAACGACTGTTAAACCACCAGGGAAGTCCACCAATCATATTCTTAATAGTGGATCTCTACAAATACTACATCATTTTAAAAGCTCTTAATTAGCCTTTTAACCAGGTTAGCAAGACAAAATAATAAATGAGTTTTACATATTGGAAAGAAGGCATTATACATAGTAGATGATATATCTAGAAAACTCTGAATCGACTGAAGAACAACTTCAGTAATTCAGTACAGTGGAAACCTGAAAATATAGATGTAATAGATTTATTTTGTGTTTCAGCAATAATCAGTAAATATAATGGAAAAAAATGATACTATTTCCAAAGTAGACAAGAAAACTATATATAACAAATAAAAATAAGAAATGTGGAAGACGTGTGTGTGTGTTTAGGGGGTACTTTTCAATTTGTTTAATTGATTTTCAAGAAGGCAGAGCTAATCTATAGGTAGAAATGAGAATATTTGTTGCCTTTGTTGTGGAGGGAGACTGATTGAAAAGTGGTGTGAAGGAACTTTCTAGGATGATGAAAGTGCTATACCTTGATTGAGGTATTGGTTACAGAGGTATAGATATTGTTCAGAATTTATTGAACTGTACCATTAAAATCTGTGTATTTTACTGTAAGTAATTATACCTCAATTTAGAAAAAATGGAGAAGAAACCTAAATCTAAAGTTCAACCAGAATAAACAGGAAAAATTCAACTATGAAAAAAAAACATTTTTGAAAAAGATTAAATGGAGGAGAAGGGAAAGATTTTTTTCTCATATTAAAAAAAACTTAAGCTGGCTTATTAAGAGAGGAAAAAATGAAAAAGAATCAAGGGTTGCAGACCCTGATACATAGAAGACTTCAGTATATCAAAAGTATGAAAATCAGTTTGGAAAGCATGCTGGGATAGTTGAATAAACATTTGGGAAAAAATGAGCTTATCAATATTAAGCCAAAGTCTATTTCCTGACAGATTGAAAACTGAAATGTTAATCATGAACTCATTTAAAACACACACGTGGGTGTGCGTGCATACAAAGAAAATGCCTGATATTTGAAGTGAGGGAGGAGTTTCTGAGCTTAAAATCTAAAGTTAAGTTACAAATCAGATAAAAGATTTGAAACAGATAAAAGGCTAATATTTCCACTATATAAAGAACTCCTTGCAATTGATAGGAAAGAAGAACCATTCAGTAAAACATAAACAAAAGATATGAAAAAATTCAGACATTAAGAAACAAATCAGAGTTTTGGAAAGTATATTCAGTGACTCTTATTAGGTAATTTATCCACGTGTCCTTTTAAATGTCATTGACTGGAAAGTTTTTCAAGTCAGAAAGGAAATTAAGTATTAAAATCCCAGATTTCTGATTACATTTTATTAATTATCCCCTATATAATATATTAAGTTTTTCTTTTTTATTTTAGCACTTCAGAATCCAGAGGTGGTGGCCCTTCGAGGTGGACTAAACACCATCTTGAAAAATGTGATCGATTGCCAATTAAGTCGAATAAATGAGGCTCTCATTACTACAATTTTACACCTCCTTAATCATCCAAAGACCCGGCAGTATGTACGAGCTGATGTAGAATTAGAGGTAGGAACTTTAATATTCTTTCTAGTTTTAAAATATGACTTTAAATACATACTCTTACTTTGAAATTTTAAAGTTAATATACAGCACAGCATTAATTATTAAACCTAAATTAACTAATAAGCTTGGCTTATCCCAGCAGTATTTTATAGCTCATTCAATTTGGACTGAATTGAAAAAATTCTCAAGAATATTTCATCAACATGTAAAGTGAAGTTTATTTTTTTTTATTATCTATGAAAACTTGACTGAGCAAATTAGAGCACAAGTAAGGTTTCATAGACATTTATCTATTCATTTAAGAAGACAATTTTTTTTTTAAGGACTGTAGTATGTTAATTGTGTGTGAATAGCTCCTGCTAATTATATACTATTTATTTATTAAATCATGCTAAAACTCTCTGAACTTGGAGACCCTTGTTGGCAACTAAAGACCATATATAATTGAAAGAAATAGAATACATATCTTTTTAAAAATACTCTACAATTTCTTTTTTTTTTCTTTTTACTAATTCAGTTTTTTTTTTTTTTTTTTTACAGTTGGTCTAAAATAGTAAGGCTACCATATACCCTTTTCTATAATAAGTATGTAGTAGAGGTTGGAACACAATTATCACAAACTGTATTCTTTTCTTTCCCCCTCACTTTTGGCCATGCCCTGTGGCTTGTGGGATCTTAGTTCCCCTGACCAGGGATTAAACCTGGGCCCTCAGCAGTAAAAGCATGGAGTCCTAACCTCTGGACCACCAGGGAGTTACCACAAAATGTATTCTTATAGTTTATTTGTGTGAGTGTATTACATTGTTGTCCATTGCAGATATCATTCAGAGTAAGTTTAAACCAAGGCTTTATTTGGGTATGAAATTATGCAAATTATAAAAGATTTATTGTTCCCTACTTTGCCTGTTTAAATCATTTTATGAAACTTGTCTTAAATGTTATAGTTCTGGTTTTATTAGGGCTACTAGAAATATTTTGAGATTATAAAATTGACATTAGCCTGTATCATTAACTAACAAGTTTAGGTACAATATTCTCCTTAATAAGTGATTTTAAATACATTATTCATGGGAGTCCAGTGGGAATAAGCTGGCATTTTTGATATTTTACAGTGTATTTCGATTTAAATTTTTTCTTTATCAAGTGGAGAAAATGATATTTTAAGATTGGAGAGATGATTGCAATAAAGGAAGATATTGTGTATAGGCCTGTTTTTTATTCCTATATAATTGTGCAGCAGATTAGTAAAGCCTTTGTGTAAATGAAAAAACCTCAAAAAGAATATGGTAGATATTTAAGTACATGACTGTATTTGCATAAGTTCTTTAAAACCACAAATGTTCTTTTTTTCTTTAACAAGATCCCCCTAAAGTAGCATAGTGATTGAGAGCATAGACTTTGGGCTATACAGATCTGGTTTTCGTTTTTTGTTCTGTAACCTACTAGCTTTATGATTTGGGGCAAGTTATTAGCCTCTCTTGGACCCATTTTTTCCTAGGTAAAATAAAAGTCATGATTTTTACCTTAAAGAATTATTGTGAAGAATAAATACTATAATAATAATAGTAGTAGTAGTAATAGCAGCAACTAACACTCTTATAAAGCTTATAATGAGTTAGGCAGTATTTCCAGGTGCTTTACATATATTCATTCTAATCTACATAAATGTTTTATTTAGTACCTGGCACATAATAAGTATTCAATAAATACTGATTGCCTTGGATATTAATCATTATCATCATCTTCTACTTTATCATTATCTTCATCCCAGTGTCTGCTGTTACAAGAATATTGTCCTCAGTTTTATTAATTATATTTTATAAATTTTCACTCTAACTTGATAACTTTGGTTTTTCTTTTCCACATACAAAGGAACTATTTTCATTGCTACTGTCTCATTAGGCCCAAATCTTTCTTCTGTTAAAAAAAAAAAAAACCCCTTTTAAAATTTACCCTGGCTTCTATTTCTATAATCTGTAATATATTTTGACCTCACACAGGAAAAAAAAAAGGTACATTTAATATGCTAATGTTATTAAAATAGGCAGTCAGTAAGGATTATAAAATTGTAATTTTAATTTTTTATAGTAAATTTTAAAAACAATGTATTTTTTAAACTTCAGAGTAGGATAGTGTAGTTCATAGCATCTGCTATGGAAAACTGGAAAAGTTGAATAATTATGGAAATCATATATTTAAAGCAGTATAGAGCTGTGAAAGCAATAAGGACCAGAAGGAGTGAAAAATCTAGAGATGCCCTTGGGGGCACTGTATATTTAGGCCACAGGCTAGAGGTTAAGAATATGACCTAGGCCTAGGTAGAAGACCAGACTGTTTGGCAGGCCTATGTGTATGTGGAGTGACAAGCCTAGAGATGTGAGAAGCCCCCAGATCAAGTCTGATTTACCCTTCTAGAAGTTTGCTGAGATAAGAATCTGTGGAGAGCAGAAGTTAAATTGTTTCCACTGAGGAAAACACAGTGGAATAGGCTATGGTCTCCTGTGCATAGGACACAGAGGCCTCCCAGGAAGGGGGGTCATGGGCAGAAGTGGAAAGGCCTCTAAGAAGTAGTGAATTTACACTGATTATATGCAGTTCCTTTTTTTCCCTGGGGTCACTTACTGATCAGGCCATAATTAGAAGCTAAAAATCCAGGTACGCTTTTCCTAGGACCTGAAAAATCAGAACAGCTTTTGGCAGTTATGTAGTATTCAAGTAACAAACTGGGTACTTCATAGCTGATTTCCTGTTCTTGACATGTCCCAAATTCTGAAGTAATTGTGGATGAGTGCCTAAAGATCTAAGTTCAAAACTTATGAAGTATGTAGAAAAAATCCCCAATTTCTCACTGCTAAGGAGAAAAAAAAAAAACTTGCTAAAGTCTCTTGAAAGTTTTGGGGATCCATACTTTAGAAACACAAGAAAACCAAAGGTACACTCAAATCTTAACAAAATTGCAGCATAGTCTCAATTTAACTCAGTTGGTGACTAGGATAAGCTCATCAGTCCCTTTAATCTACCTGACAGAGGAAAGGATAAACCATCTCTGATGGAGATAACATCACTTGGAACCTTTAATAAAATTTACAGTGTCTGACCTTCAGTCAGAAATTTGATTGAGTGTCATACAAAAAGACATGACTATGTAACTGAAAACTCAAAAGAAAAGAAATTCCATAGAAGCATGTCCACAGGTGATCCAGATATTACAGCTGGAGGGAAAAGACTTTAAAACAAGCATGATTAACTTGTTAAGGAAAATGGAGAAGAAGAAAAAAATAGATGAAATAATGGAGAATTTCACCATATAATTGCAATGTGCAAAATGAATCAAATGGAACTAGTACAGAAAAATATAAAACCTGAAATTCTGAACTCAGTGAAATTAAAAATCCATTTTGGATGAGAAGATATCATTAGTAAATTGAAATAAAAGTCAATGAAAACATCAAGTAAAACATTGGGGGCCGGGGAAGAGAAAGGAAATGAACATAACAAAAGGGATAAAACATAATTGTTGTCTTTGGAGAAGAGAGAGAAAATGAGCAGAAGCAGATATCCAAAGAAGCAGTGGTCAAAACTTTTGTTTCTAAAACTGATGAAACTTCATAAAGCTCAGAAAACTCAAGATATTACAAAGAAAACAACATGTACACACATCATGGTAAGGTTGTCAAAAACCAAGATAAATAAAAATCTTAAAATCAGCTTGAGATACAAGACTCTACTTTGAAAGGAACAACTCTGACAGCTGATTTCCCAACAGAAATAATGGAACCAGAAGACAGTAGAATGGCATCGTTAGAGTGCAGAAAGAAAATAATGTCAACCTACCCTAGAGAAAATGTCTTTCAAAAACAAACGTAAAATAAAGATTTTATAGACTAAAGAAAAAAGACCCAAGGAAATTTAAAGAAACACTATTCTTTATTCGATTCCTTGCCTTCATGTCATGAAGACAGTAAAGCAGCCTATGGTGAGGCACACGTGGGAAGGAACTGAGACCTTTTGCTAACAATTAGCACGTTGTGAGTAAACCATCTTGAAGCAGATTCTACAGCTTCAGTCAAGTCTTGAGATGACTGCAGCCCTGACCAATATTTTGACTACAGTTTTATGAAGCACCCTGAGCCATAACTGCAGAATTAAACTCTTCTAGATTCCTGACTCACAGAAACATTCTGAGATAATAAATATTTATTGTCTTTTAAAAAATAAGACAGAGTACAGGAAGATGGCGGAAGAGTAAAACACGGAGATCACCTTCCTCCCCACAGATACACCAGAAATATATCTACACGTGGAACAACTCCTACAGAACACCTACTGAATGCTGGCAGAAGACCTCAGGCCTCCCAAAAGGCAAGAAACTCCCCACGTACCTGGGTAGGGCAAAAGAAAAAAGAATAAACAGAGACAAAAGAATATGGACGGGACCTGAACCAGTGGGAGGGAGCTGTGAAGGAGAAAAGGTTTCCACACACTAGGAAGCCCCTTCACGGGCGGAGACTGTGGGTGGGGGAGGGGGCGAGCTTCGCAGCCGTGGAGGAAAGCACAGCAAGAGGGGTGCGGAGGGCAAAGTGGTGAGATTCCCACAGAGAGGATTGGTGCCGACTGGCACTCACCAGCCTGAGAGGCTTGTCTGCTCACCCGCCGGGGCGGGCGGGGCTGGGAGCTGAGGCTCGGGATTTGGTCAGAGCGCAGGGAGAGGACTGGGGTTGGCGGCGTGAACACAGCCTGCAGGGGTTAGTGCACCACGGCTGGCCTGGAGGGAGACAGGGGAAAAGTCTGGACCTGCCGAAGAGGCAAGAGACTTTTTCTTCCCTCTTTGTTTCCTGGTGCACGAGGAGAGGGGATTAAGAGTGCTGCTTAAAGGAGCTCCAGAGACGGGCGCGAGCCGCGGTTAGCAGCGTGGACCCCAGAGACGGGCATGAGACGGTAAGGCTGCTGCTGCCGCCAACAAGAAGCCTGTATGCGAGCACAGGTCACTCTCCACACCTCCC